ATATATATATATACAGACATATACAGATATATGTACATATACATATACATACACATATACAAAAAGATACATATACATATACAAATATATGTGCATATACATATATATATATATGTATATATATACACACATGTACATATACATATATACATATATATTAGTTATATTATTTATGTACATACATACATAATATTATATATATATACATGTCTAGATGTCTTTTGTATTTACTAGGTACACCTAGACATATCTAGATATCATAAATTAGATCATATCCTATATATAAGTGGTAGTAAATACTTGAAGCAGTGGCACAGCTCTATATAGCCATATATATATATGCTATTATTTGCAGTGCTACTACTCTGCATGCACAGGCTCATGGAGGAAATTCAAGCATCCCGCAAAGACTACCAACTGTGCTACGACAAGTTGCTGGATCGCCAGAAGCACGCCTGTGTCAACGAGGTCCCCAGCGTGTGTGATCCTCAGTCTGCAATGAACAGCCACCATGCTAAAACATATGTACACTTCATGGCATGACATGTCCCCTGTAACATCTGCAGGGGGGACAAGACTATTTTGGGTGACTTGATGGTGGAAGTCATCCGCAAAGATGCCCTGCTCAACACTCTGACAGGCCGTGCCAGGCCAGGAACAAGCATACACAGAGCATGAAACCTATGTGGGATCTGCATGAACAATCGAGCTGACAGGAACATCAAGGCCCCGAAGCCAAAGCCGGATGTAGAGAAGGAGCCGAAGAAGTTGAAGAAGAAAAAGAATGCAGCAAAGGAGGAGAAATCCAAGAAAAGCAAGAAGCGAGCTGCCGATGACGAGGTGGAGGAGAAGCCCTCCAAGAAGAGAAGCAGGAAGTGATGGCTACAGACCCATCGACCGTTTCAAGTTTTGTCCGGCGCCTGCAGTACCGCAGGTCGGATGTTATCCAATGATTTTGATCCTTGCACCTGCAATGCCTATTGCAAGTGGGTGGTGCAGGGCTTCTGAACCATGTGAGCCTGCTGAACCATGTGTCACTGAACACGTGCAGCAAAGCAGAGATGAACCGGTCACAAAGACCTCTCATGTGCGTGTGCTTGTGCAATTGCAGCAGCTCATGATATACCCTAGCAGTTCCTGCAACACACATGCATGATATCCACCTGCCAGGTTATGCCCTTCCGCGTGATCTTCGGCCTCTTGTCACAGGTCTCTGTGTGCTGTGTGCTTTGCAACCATGTCGATGAGCTGCTCTGCTGTGCAGGATCCCATGTGGCCACAGATGATAGCAGCACCAGTGATGATGATTCCATGGCGCTGGAAATTCTTGAAGATTTCTTCCATGGAGAGCCTCGAACTGATTATGCATGTTGCCTCAGGTATCACGTACTGCATGCTTGCACTGCATTGGAACAGATTACATTCTATATGTGTATATATACATATATAATGTAATAATTGTATAAACTATATATATAT